TACTAATTAGTAATAAATAATTTCAAATAATAAAACACACAACAAACCCTGAGTTTTAACATTTCAAATTTCCAAAAATAATAATTAAAGGACTTTAAATATATATATATATATTACTTTAAATTTTTACACTAGCGTTATTTCTAATCAATTTTAATATATAGGTAAAATATAATATCTAAAGATAAAAAAACCCGGGCGTAGCCCGGGTAAAATCTCTAGTTTATTTTAATAATTTAAAATGGTAATGAAAATATTAATTGTTGATCCCTTAAATAATACTTCAATCATTGTGTTTAATCATGAAGCATTGCAATTATTTGGTAAAGGACACAACGGTTGGTTCTGATCAGACGTGTTGTTTTGTTTTTTAAGTAACTGAATTTGATAACTATCTTTAGAATGTACTCCTATCAAAATTACGTTAATTTGAACCTAACTTAATCGTTAAATATATACCATTATGTATTTTGTTGATTTATTAGATAATAGTTGAAGCATTGCGATTAATTCTGAAGCATTGCCATTATTTATTAAAGAACACAACTGTTGATTAAATGATCAGACGTGTACCTTTTAAGTAACTGAATTTGATACAATACATTATTATACAATTTATATTTTTTAAGAATAGACACCATAGTATTTTAAATTTTTTATTTTTTTTCTGGTTTTATTTAATGGTTTTTCCTTTGCAACTCTTGGAAGTATTTTGATTAATTAAAAAAAAAACACACCTCTTGAATGCAACTCTTGGAAGTATTTTAATTAATTTTAATTAATTTAAAAAACAAAACACACCTCTTGACAATTTATCAATGTATCTTTTCAGATTACTATAATTTAAATTTTTTATTTATTGTTATGGTTTTATCTGATGGTTTTTTCCTTTGCAACTCTTGGAAATATTTTGACTAATTTAAAAACAAAACACACCTCTTGAATGCAACTCTTGGAAATATTTTAATTAATTTAAAAACAAAACACACCTCTTGACAATTTATCACTGTACCTTTTTAGATTATTGTAATTTAAATTTTTTATTTATTGTTCTGGTTTTATCTAATGGTTTTTTCTTTACCACTCTTGGAAGTATTTTGATTAAATTAAAAATAAAACACACCTCTTGAATGCAACTCTTGGAAGTATTTTAATTAATTTAAAAACAAAACACATCTCTTGACAATTTATCAATGTACCTTTTCAGATTACTATAAATAGAAGGGTTATCTTAATGCAATTTTCAAAAAAATTGTGTGCTTTCTTTTTCTAATGTAGGTATGATTCTTAGTGCTCTTGAATATTATGTTTGATGATTATGTAGATGTAAGCTTTTTCTAGAGATTGAAATTAGTGTTTGCAGCTAAAATTAATAGATTGAACATATTTTGTTGAACATGGCAGTAAGAAAACTATTTAGAAGTTCTGTCGATATAGTCATAGGCCACCTTCTTTACGATTATAAGTTTTAAAATTTGGAATTTTGTCTTTTTTGATGATGCTTCCATACGTCAAAGTAATGTGAAAGAGGTGATTTTGAAGCATACTTGCGTAGTTATTTTGTTTGGTTCTATAACATATATTCATTTAAAACCCCAATGAGAACATCCTCAACACCATCAAGTGAAACACGTATTTAAAAATCCATTCTCTAACCTTTTTTCAGAGAAATTATGGAGAATGGATAACAAAGATAAAAATTAAAAAAATAGAGGGCGATACTTTTAAACCCAGAACTCCGGTGACGGCAGAGCAAGTTCTAAAAGACTTTCCTTGCCACATTTTGTTAAGAATCTGAATCCGTACTCTTCAGGAGACACAGAGTAGCGTACTCTTCTTCCGTAAGATCCGGCTTCTCTGGTTTAGAAGAAGTTCCAGTCAATGAAGAACACAATTGATAAGAGTTGCGAGAACCCCTCCGTTTTGAGCGTTTGGTTTCACCCAAGGCTTCAAAAACACGTCGTTTCTCCTCACAGCAGCGGTTGTGGATTGGGTTCTATCGTTTCCGAGTGTTAATACAGTGGATGGTTAGTTCATAAGGTAGTTTGTATGTGAGTGACTTGCTTTAACGTTCTTTTTGGATTGGAAAATCAGTTATTTAAGAATCTAACGATAAGTGGTGAAAGTGAGAGACGCAACGGTTGCAAGATTCAACCGTTAATGTATAACTTTCCGAACTTAATTTAAAAGAAACCGTACGGTTATAATGTGGGTTTTGAACTTGGTCTAAACACCAAAATCTAAAATAAGTTCTACTGGTTTGAAAACATACCTGTTCGATTCCTTGAGACAATAAACTATTTACATTAACTACAACATAAAATTAAAAATAAAGCATTCAAAAAACACACCAAAAATTAAAAGCGGATAACGTTAATCAAAACATAGTTAATATATCTAAAAAGTTTTAAAAGAAATTTCGTCAAAAAGGTTGATTTTAACTCTACTACGTCAATTTTTATATATTGCGTATTGCTAATCTGTTTAAAATAAATAATAACATAACAGTTAAGTTTCTCGATTTATAATAATAACTGTGTAAATGTGAAAATTAAATCCTATGGACGACAGAAAAAACTTACTATGACCATATTGACTCCACCATTGCCCTGATTGCTGTGTACTTTCTGTTGGTTACAGTGTAGTCTTTCTGAAGAGCCACGTATATTCGACCATAAATTATAAATTTACGTAGGGGCACATCGTGCAGAGACATTTCTATACAACTATAAACTAATGTTCCCTTAATCTTTCTTCCCTTTATAAGGCATATCGTCGTAATCCAATTTCTACTTTCCCTGTAAGTTACACCCACATTACTGACGAGTAAAATTCTCACGGGAAGAGAGATTATAAAATGAATTTCAATTCATGTATGGTACTATTTTTGTTTACCTTCCTTCATAACATGGAATA